GAATGAGTGCAAGAAGAAAAGTTCGGGGCTCAGAATCCCCATCTTAGAGAGAGAAGCAGACAGTGAGGCCTTAACAAATAGATGGTAAGAATGCCAAACAACCAACAAGACAATTAAAAATAGTAATTCAATGTACCTGTCAAAAGTGAATGGGGGTTGGGAGTAGGCATTCAGGAAAGAAGTTACAAATCTGTGTCTTGCATCAGAGTGCCTGGGTTCAATCTTGGCTCTGGTTCCTGATTCCAGCTTCCAGATCATGTGAATCCTTAGAAGTGACGGCTCAAGTAATTGGGTTTCAGTCATCTATATGAGAGACTCAGATTGAGTTCCTAGCTAAGAACTGGGCACTACAATTACTTTCGCCATGAATGGTTCCCTAACACTAGGGGCAAGGCTGGGCTGGGGGTGGGGTGGCCCTGCCATGAGTCCTGTAGCCCTAAGCCTGGCAGGCTGGAGTTCTGCTGTCCAAGGCATTTGACGAGTGCATTCAGCACCCAGGGAGACTCACCACTTTCCTCTGTGCATTTTTTTCTCTCTGGGCCCCTAGTCCTCTGGATGGTGCCCACCTTTGTTAAGGGTGGGTCTTCCCACTTAATCCTCTCACTTCCCCTGAAAACACTCCCCCAGACATAGCCAAAGCAATGTCTTCCCAGGTCTCTGGGTATTTTTCAATCCAAAGTGACACTGAAACTTCACCATCATGCAGGTGTAAGTGCTGGAGTATGTCATTTCTTGAGGAACTCGTGTGTGTTCTTTATAGAAAAAAAAAAAAAAAAAAGAAAACCAAAGCCAATCATTTACCGCAGTGATTTCCAGATCAGCTGACAGTTATACTCGCCAGGCAGCTTCCAGGCCCTTGAGGATTCTGCTTCAGCAGGTATGGGAGGAGCCTGAACCTCACCGGTCAAGGCTCTGGAGGACCCTGAGGCACATTCAGGTTGGAAACCATTTGTTTGGCTCCTTTTTCCTTTTTCCAAGGACCCTCTAGGACAAATTTACTCTTCCACTTGAAGAAGTATTTGTGATCTACAACCCCTGAAACGTTTGCCCTTGATCTCAGTCTTTTAGCTTCACCTGGATGTAGCATGGTCTGAGTGTTTAAAAACACAGAGAAATAACAGAAAATTCATGGACTTTCTAAACAAGGGGCTTGTGGGAGACTCAGAAGAAGCTCCTGGCTCCTGTTTTGGCATGGGCCTGCCTTAACCCTGGCCGTTGAGGCCATTTGGGAATTACACCAGGGGATGGAAGTTCATTCACTCTCTCTGTCTCTCCCTCTCTCTCTGTGCAATTCTGTATTTCAAATAAATAAATAACTTTTTTTTTTTCCCAAAGGGCAGTAGTGGTGCAGTGCAGATCTGGCCTGGTGGCCATCTCCCCAATTGCAATGGTATGTGAGAGTGAGCTTAGCCTCCAACAAGTATGCATTTACATTGTGGACACTTTGCAAAAAAACAAAATCTTTTATAACACAGAAGGGAAACCAAGTTCTCCTAACAAGAATCCCAGTGAGAATTCCATTATGGCTAAAGAAGAGGCATCACTTAGACTCATGTTTATTGTGTTGCTAAAAATGGCCCGAGAAGAGGAAAAGTCATACTTTGGGCTTGTCTATGGCAGAGGTAGCTCTCTGTGGTGTCTGCTTTTGGTTTTTTGAATGCACTTATTGAGAGGCTTCATGTCCTGATGTTCCCGCTTCAGCGGAAGCTCAAAAGCCAGCTAGCAAAAGATCCAGGAAGTGACTGGAAAGAATTATACCTGCAAAGCCTGGTCCTGGCTGCAAAGGCTTTCTCCCACGATCTTCGACCACAAGCTCCTTTCAGTTACTATGTTCATAGTGTTCAGAGGTGTAAGGGGGACCAAAGTTGGTTATCCAGAATTCACCTTGATATAAGATTATCTACTCCACACGCATCACTGTTTTTTACTATCTTAAAAGGCACTGGAGGTAGGAGGGAGGTTGGGGGTGTGAGAACTCTTTGAAGTCCTGAAAGAAGCTGACCAGAACAACGTGAACTGTTCTGGAATCACCGATCAACGGGACATCACATGAGGACTACCGAATTTGGACAATGACCCAAGTCCTCCTCTGCAGCCCATTAGACGCCAGACCCCCCAGGCGGATGTTCTCTGAAGTATGAAGAAAAAAATCAAGCATGAAGTTTGTTGTGTGTCTTGTTTGCATTATAGCTCTAGCTGAGACAAAGTGCATTTTGCTATGTCCCCCTTCTCCTCCCTGTGAGTTCCAAATCTCACATTAAAGGAGAAAACCAAGAAGATATTTGTCTTACAGCTTACAGCACTGAACAAAACAGTATGTAGGAGGGCAGTTAACCCTGTCAGATGCATCGAGATAGCTGGTGCTATGCTGTTGACATATAGGGACACACTCTGAAAAAGACATATGGGCAACAATAGTCATGCTCCCTTGTATATAGGTGAATATTTGCTCTCGGTATCTATTATTAACTGTAGTATAGTTAGGAAAAAAGAATTTCATCTTTTGGCCACTTCAGCAAGAAATGCTTTTTTTTTTTTTTTTTTTTTTTGCATGGATCAGGGTAACTAGATCAATGCAGATTGACAAAAGCAAAATGTATCAGTTAAAGCAAAATACCATTTATTTTTCACTGTCCTCAGTCCCTAGTCTGTATGTGGGAGGGATCAGGGCTTTTTTTGCCAAGTTATGTAATTACCAAAATTTGTAGTGATAGGAGAATTCTGTAGAAGTTTAGGAATATTTCTAAAACATCCAAAGGCTTGAAATTAAAAATAAGAAGAAACATAGCTCATGAAACAAATACATTCTGACTTTACTGAACCTTTCCTAACTGTCATTGTTATTCATATATGCCGAAATAAAAAACAAAACAAAAACTTACAGTATTATACAATGTATGATATACTAGAAAGCAAGAAACTCTAAGAAAACTCAGATAAATAAAAAGTTATCTTTCTTTCATCTTCCAGATCCGTGGTGCTGCAAGCAAGACCTGGGTGCAACATATTCTCTGATCCTCTACATCCCTGTGGAGTCATGAGGACCAACACCCTGAGAAGTCAATAACACCTGCAAAAGAGTCAGCCAGGGGTGAGGTAAAGGAGATAAGATGTGTTTTTATTTTCCACATCTGTGGGCAAAATCAGCATTTTACAAAAAAAAGCAAAGCAATCCTTTGGCTTGAATAGCCATAGGTGGATATCATCCTTTTCTTCCCCAAAGGAGAAATGTTTGGTCATTTTTCAAGTGCAATAAATGAGAATATTTCAATCATGGCAACTTTTCCCACTCCTTTGTAAAGCATAAGGCTTAGATATTTCTAGGAATATTTATTACCTATCCTCCCCACATTCCAATATATTCCTGCCCCTCCTTTTAATCACAGGAATGTTACAGATGATCATATGAAGTTCATGTCTGATGGTAAAATATCACATTTATTTTCCATTGTCAATAAGCCTTTTATTTTGTCCCAAGCACCCTTGGGCTATGTGAGAATAGCCACATGGAATCACTCTGAGCAATGATGAACACCCTTGGGCAGAGAGCTGTGGCACTGGCCATCCAAAAGTTCACATGAATCCAGAGATAAGTAAGGTCATGTCAATTATTTTGTCATATTTTACCAACTTGATGAAATGACTTGGTCTGATTTTGAACTAACTAGTTGTACCTGGGAAAGCATTATCATAAAGCTAGAAACAAAATGACCATGACAAAAAGAGCTAAGTACTGGAGTTCTAAGCAGTCAACGTAAGTGCTAATAAATAAATAAGCAAAAATAACTGTTAATTTGAAAAATTGTTTTTGTTGGCATTACTTTTCTAACATTCCTGTTAACTATTTTTGCTTTTCCAACAGTAGTTTTTGTTGTGTAATAAAATGCTCATGACTTTGATATGTGACTGGCAAAAATGTTTTAAGCAATTTATGCAGACCATGATTGGAGGAACATTAAACAAAGTCAATTGCAAATGAAAATTTCACTGCTTGAACTTCTGGCATACAATTCACAGTAGCCACTGGCTTAAAAAACAATCTCCTTTCCTCCAGAGACAGCCACCCTCCCATGTTCCACTCCTGACCAAGTTGAGAAACAAACCCTCCTGGGTCAATGAGTGTGATAGTAATGAAATCCAGACAAGCAACTAGAAACTTGAAACAGAAGAAACAAAATTATCTAATGGAAGTCATTCATTATAAGTGTGTGGTTCATTGAAACTAACAAAATGTGGGCCAAACATGACCTGAATATGTCGTGGATGATAATGATCCTATGTTTATGTTGTGCTTTCTAACCAGACACATCCAAAACATTTTTCCAGGTTTCCTAAAAGTGGGACATAGACAATTGACAATTGCTATAAAGTAATGCCTTCTGGAATAACAATATAGGCTAACAACTAGATTTGATCACTACCTGAGTGTTTTAAGGAACATAATAGGCCACTTTTGCTGAAACCTACCCACGCATTAAAGAAACTGAATAAAGAAAGCATCTTACTAGCAGTCCATATTCATTCACACCAGACACAGCATGTGCCTTTAGAATCAGTCTTAGAAATAACTAGGAATTCCTATTAACACTACTATGCACAATGTTTACTTGTTGTTATTTCCAGAGTTCGTGTAGAAATCCACTTGTTTAAACACTTAGAGTGAATCAAGTAAGCATTGTCAACTCCATGTCTTTCCCTCTTGTATAAACACCCTCCTATGGCTGTCCCTACCATATTGCTTTCCCCTGGTACACACACACACACACACACACAAACACACACACACCATCGACTTGAGCTCAGTGAGGAGGGTATGTTTGCAAAAGTTACTGAAGCCATCTCATTCCCATCACCAATTAAATGCAAGGCAACAAAGACTGGCTTTGGAGCTGAAGGCACCTTCAATGAATCTTTTGATTGACTCCACACTGCTATCTTTTCCCAATCATCTTTGGAAAGCACACACACACCAGTTGCCTCCTGGAAAATAGTTCACTCACTTTAGCTGGAGTCTGAGGAGCCCATGTTGAGCAGGTAGCTTGACTTCCCTTAGGGGATGGGCAGATGCATTCCTTAAGCTAGGTCAGCTGGACACTCTCTCCTTAATGTGAACTGTGAAGAGGTCAAAAAGACTGAAATTTGTTTCAGATCATTTAGTCCACCTGTGATGCACCGACAAGCTTTCTGAGTTTCTGATGTCAATTTCTGCTGGTGCTGTTTCAGTCTGTTCCTTCGTGAGCATGGTCTTTAAGTTTTCCCTCTTGTCCTATAATTTCAATAAATATCTTAAATATTGACTTAAGTCCTTCAAAATTAGTTTATGGATGTAATTTCTAAGATCTGTCTTCACCACTTACAAAAATGCTATCTCTAACTTACAGAGCTTTTGGCTTAACAGTTTTTCGACATTTTGATGGTGCAAAAGTGATGTGAATTTAATAGAAACTATAGGCTGAATTTCAAATTTGTATTTTTCTCAGGTCATTGACATGCAGTGTGATATTTCTCACAATACTGGCAGTGGTAGGGGACCACAGCTCTCAGTCAGTCCCATGATCATGCCTGGAAACAACCAACCCTCTGCTGTGTAACGTGCTGTTAAATTGAGGTGGGTGGGAGGTGAGAGATAATGAACACATTTTCAACTTAGAATGCCTTTGTCAGAAAATAGCTCCATCCTGAGTTGAGGGGCATCTGTGCAGCTAAAATGTTCAATTCAGGTTTTCATTCTGAAAGGGATATATTCTCTATAGAACTATTAATTCAAGTATGAATACAGAAAGTGGACAGCTCACAGTTGAGTGGAATTTAACTAATCAACTTTTATTTTCACCAATCAGAAAAAGATTTCAAACTTCACTACTCAGAATGCTACTCACTACCAGCAGTCTTGGTATTAGTTATGAGCTTGTTGGAAATGCAGAATCTTAAGCCCCTACAAGACCTGTTGAATCAAGGGCCTATGACACCAGCATCTCACAGGGGCGCTGGCTTGTGTTGGCTGCCCCACCTCCTAGCCAGCTCTCTGCTAATGCATCTGAGAAAACAGTGAAAAATAGTCCAAGTGCTTGGGCCCCTGCACCCATTTGGGAGACTCAGGTGAAGCTCCTGGCTCCTGGAGTCAGTGTGGCCCAGTGTAGGCCACTGTCGCTGTTTGGGGAGTGAATCAGCAAACAGAAGATCTTTCTTTGTCTCTCCTTCTTTCTCTGTAACTCTGCCTTTCAAATAAATAAATACATCTTTTAAAAAAAATCCATTGAATCAGAATCTATACTTCAACGAGATTTCTAAATTTTGTGAAGCATAGATATAGAACAAGACTAGCTTTCTAGAAATCTATCTTATTAATGCACTTTATCATTAGCTCCTCAAAACTACCACTTTTCTAACAAAGCCTGAATTTTCTGTTTTGCTTCGTTGTTGAACTTACCATAAATGGATTTTATGGCATGGACTTTGGGGATTTGGCTTCTTCTACTCAACATTATGTTTGCAGACCCCTCCACGCTGCTACATGCTGCAGTTTGTTCTTATTTTTAATTGCAGAATGAACGCATCACAATTTATCTAATTCCACTGTTACTAGTTATTTGTGTTACTTGATTTGGGAACTTTTATGGATAATGCTGGTGGAATCACAGCCTTTGGAGAACATATGGGTAGATTTTTTGTGGGTGAAATTTGAGGATTAGAGTTGCACTGTGCATTCATATTTCCAGTCTTACTAGATTCTGACAAAATTTCCTCAAGTGGTTGTACCAAATCATATTTCCACAATCAGAACGTGAACATTCTACTTGCCCTGGGACTGGTATTTTGGTGAAACAGCTAAAGCCACCGCCTGTGAAGCCTGCATACCTCATGGGCACCAGTTAGTGTCCTGGCTGCTCAACTTCCTATCCAGCTCCCTGCTAATCTGCCTGGGAAGGCAGCAAAGGACGGCCCAAGTGCTTAAGCCCCTGGACCCCCAGGAGAGACCTGGAGGAAGCTCCTAGCCCCTGGCTTCAGCCCAGCCCATTTCCCCCCAGTTTCAGTCACTGGGGAGTGAACAGCAGATAGAAGATCGCTGTCTCTCCTTCTGTCTCTGATACGTTGCCTTTCAAATAAATAAATAAAATCTTAAAGAAAAAAAAAAAAAAGAACAGAAAATTCTACTTGTCCTAATCTCTCACCCTCAATTGACATTGTCAGATGTTTGGTCAACTGGTTGGCTGACTATTGGTTTAGCCGTTATTGTGTTTATTTAATTATATTTTTATGGTGGTCTCAATTTATATTTTCTTGTTGATTAAAGCTATAGAGCAAGCACATCTTCATATTTATTGGTCATGTGGACATCCTCTTTTGTGAAGTGTTCTGTCCAATTAGTGAATTAGGTCAGTCCATCTCTTGCTCTTTGATTGGCAGAGATTCTATACATAGCCTGGAAATGAGTATTTTGTTAGGACAAAGATTCTTTCCTGTGCCCAAGGTTCATCCAGGGTCCCCAGCCCTCTCTCTGACTAGGCTTTTTTTTTATTTAATAAATGTGAATTTACAAAGTGCAACTTTTGTATTGTTGTGGCTCCCCCCCCAACCTCCCTCCCTCCCGCGGCCCTCCCCTCTCCCACTCCTTCTCCCATCCCTCCCTTCATCGAGTTTCATTTTCAATCACCTTCATATACAGAAGATCAACTTAGTCTACACTAAGCAAGGATTTCAACAGGCTGCCCTCGCACAACCGCACAAGGTATAGGGCATTGTTCGACTAGTAGTGTTGTTTTAAGTTTCATAGTAAAACACATTAAGGACAAAGATCCTACATGGGGAGCCTGTACCCAGTGACTCCCGTTGTTAATTTAACAATTGGCACTCTTATTTGTGGCGTCAGCAATCACCCGAGGCTCTTGCCATGAGCTGTCTAGGCTGTGGGATGACTAGGTTTTAATTATGAGGCCTGTTCTAGGCTAATCAGTCCTGTTCTAGCAACAATTCTGCTGGGTGTATTTGGTAAAAAGCTCTATACTCTTGCTATCTCATTGAATTTCTATTCGTCCCTTCTCAGTATCTTATCACCTAAAGATCCTATCAAGTCAGCTAACCAGAATTTCCTTTACCACTGATGTTTATTTTAGTAGTTTTCTGCCCATGTGAAACCAGACAAGACCCCCTAAAATTTATCCTGAAATGTGGCCCCTTACAGTTCCCTAGAAATGCTATCTGGGGTGCCACATGTGCTACCGGAATTTGGGGTGCCTACGATTTCACCACGGGCTTATTACTAAATCCCCGATATCAATAAGCCTGAGAGGGTTCTTGGCTAATATTTAGAGAAGAATTCTAAATACCGGCACAGATAAATGAGGCAGCATGGTACATTTTAGGCTTTTATTTAGTAAGAAAGGTGCATAAGAGAGTGAGAGGTAATTAAAGGTTCATACCAAGCACCAGGAACCAGCCACATGGAAGAGCATCTAGGCCAGGAAGCCTAGAACGCATGGCCCAAAGGCCATGCGCCCTGGAGGCGCGCGGGGCTACAGCAAGCCCCCTTCCTAGCAAGAGGCCAGGGAAAAAGAGCAGGCCTGGCACACTGTGCCCTAGGCTTTTAACCCACTCCAAAGGGGAGTGGTTAACTAACCTGATTGGCTGGTGGGCACCCCGGTGTGGCCAGGTAGGGGAATGAGGCCACTCAGGGGCATTGCAAAGGCATCAGGTAGGGGCATGAGGTCACACAGGGGCGTGGCAAAGGCGTGGTCTTCCAGTTCACAAATTTAACAATTTGAACCTGTATGCCTGCCTACTTCACATGGATCCCTGCCCCATCCTCCTCTGTCAATCCCCACTCTTCCTTGAAGCCTTAGGAACTGGGCCTACTCTCTCTCCCCTACAGCAAAACCCCGTGGTGATAGTCCCTCTAGATAATCCACATTTAACAACTGCCATCAGTATTTTTTCCTTGATGGTTAAATATGTTTTTGTGTATCTTTTCTCATGCTGTGACTTTGCTTGAACACAGACTTTTTTAATTTTAATGAAAGCCACTTCATTCTTTTCTTTAGTTTCTGGGTCTTTTGCATTCCATTTACAAGACTGTAGCCGGTGGGGTTCTCCTCTAATTCCTTCTTTGTAGTAGATAATAGCTGTATGATGCCCTCGGTTTGGGAAGATGACACATTTAGCTGAAGAGTGTGCTTTTGGCTTATACTGATATTACCTATAGGAAGAACAAAATAGTACAATGAGAATTTCTGATCCAAATGTCTGTAATTACAAACAAATTAAACAGAGCCCCTGTGCATAAACATGGAACCAAAAGTCAAAGTGTCAGGAAGTACATGTAAGTTTCGGGGCAGGCATTTGGTATAGTTGCTAAGAACCATTTGGGATGCTCACATCCAATATCACCATGCCTTGAGACTCTGTCATGCCTGTGGGAGAACTGGATTCAGTTCCCAGCTCTTGGATTCAGCCTAACCCAGTCCTGGCTGCTGTGGGCATTTGAGATTGAACCAGTGAATGGGAGATCTTTCTCTGTGTATCTATCTGCTCGGTCCCTCTCCCTATGTCACTCTACCTCTCAAAAAAAAAAAAATATATATATATATATATATATGTTTAATTGCCTAGGGAAATTTTGCAGTCCATGCAAAGTTTCTCAATAATACACATTTTTCATGAATTTTTTAAAGACCCCTTTTCTTTCTTTTAATTTTTTTATTTGCATACATGTCACAAATACAACTTTTGGAGCATAGTAATTCTTTCCACCATACACGCCCTCCCACCCACACTCTTACCCTTCTACCTCTTCCCTCTCCTGTCTTGTTTTTTAACTAAGATCTACTTTCATTTAACTTTATACACAGGTTAACTCTATTTTAGGTAAAGAGTTCAGCACTTTGTATAAAGGAGAAAAAGAAAAAGAGAGAAAAAAAATCAAAACAAATAAACAAAAAAGAAAAACTAAAAACAAAATAAAAAGAAGAAAAGCTGTTTCTCAACAGTCCAGTCAGGGCCTGCTCAAAGTCATCACATCTCAATCGTAATTTTGCTTTTTTTGTCGTTGTTGTTGTTTGAAACTTAGTTATCTTTAAAGAGGAACCCAAGAATGATGCATCTTTTGTGAGCCCTTA